CACATACACACATACATATATATACATATTGATATGTACAAACTATCACACACACGCGCGCGTGTGTGTATGCATACATTTATATATACATACATACGAATATATATATATACATATATACATATACAAATATATACACACATATATATATATACAGCAGATATATACACAAACCACATATATATGTGTATATATATACAGTGTTGGCATTTATATATATATATATATATTTCATGTGTTTCATTCATAATGAAAATATTTCGGGATCATTATGACAGTCACTAACCTGCTGGATTGCTGGCACTGAAACACATGTCCAGCAGTGGGGGGTCAGTGTAAGTTATGGTAACTGTAGTGGCTGGTGATGCGGTAGTTGTGGTGGGTGGTGGTGCGGTGGTTGTGGCTGGTGGTGTAGTAGTTGTGGTGGCTGGTGGTGCAGTAGTTGTGGTGGCTGGTGGTGCAGTAGTTGTCGTGGCTGGTGGTGCAGTTGTTGTGGCTGGTGATATAGTTGTGGTGGCCGGTGGTGTGGTTGTAGCTGGTGGTGCAGTTATTGTGGCTGGTGGTACAGTTGTGGTGGCTGGTGGTGTGGTTGTGGCTGGTGGTGCCGTAGCTGTGGTGGTTTGTGGTGCAGTAGTTGTGATGGCTGGTGGTGCAGCAGTTGTGGTGGCAGGTGGTGTGGTAGTTGTGGTGGCTGGTGGTGCGGTGGTTGTGGTGGCTGGTGGTGCTGTAGTTGTGGTGGTTGGTGGTGCGGTAGTTGTGGTGGTTGGTGGTGCGGTAGTTGTGGTGGCTGCTGGTGCAGTTGTGGTGGCTGGTAGTGCGGTAGTAGTGGTGACTGGTGGTGCAGTAGTTGAGGTAGCTGGTGGTGCAGTTGTGGTGGCTGGTGGTGCAGTAGTTGTGGTGGCTGGTGGTGCAGTAGTTGTGGTGGCTGGTGGTACAGTTGTGGTGGCTGGTGGTGTGGTAGTTGTGGTGGCTGGTGGTGCAGTAGTTGTGGCTGGTGGTGTGGTAGTTGTAGTGGCTGGTGGTGCGGTAGTTGTGGTGGCTGGTGGTGCAGTAGTTGTGGTGGCTGGTGGTGCAGTAGTTGTGGTGGCTGGTGGTGCAGTTGTGGTGGCTGGTGGTGCCATAGTTGTGGTTACTGGTGGTACAGTAGTTGTGGTGGCTGGTGGTACAGTTGTGGTGGCTGGTGGTGCCGTAGTTGTGGTGGCTGGTGGTGCAGTTGTGGTGGCTGGTGGGGCTGCAGTTGTGGTGGCTGGTGGTGCAGTTGTGGTGGCTGGTGGGGCCGTAATTGTGGTGGCTGGTGGTGCAGTAGTTGTAGTGGCTGGTGGTGCAGTTGTTGTGGTGGTTGGTGGTGCAGTTGTGGTGGCTGGTGGTGCCGTAGTTGTGGTAGCTGGTGGTGCAGGAGCTGTGGTGGTTGGTGGTGCAGTAGTTGTGGTGGCTGGTGGTGCAGTTGTGGTGGCTGGTGGTGCCGTAGTTGTGGTGGCAGGTGGTGCAGTTGTGGTGGCTGGTGTTGTAGTTGTGGTGGCTGGTGGTGCAGTAGTTGTGGTGGCTGGTTGTGCAGTTGTGGTGACTGGTGGTGCAGTTCTGGTGGCTGGTGGTGCCGTAGATGTGGTGGCTGGTGGTGCAGTAGTTGTTGTGGCTGGTGGTGCGGTTGTTGTAGTGGCTGGTGGTGCAGTAGTTGTGGTGACTGATAGTGCAGTTGTGGTTGGTGGTGCCATAGTTGCGGTGGTTGTTGGTGCAGTAGTTGTGGTGGCTGGTGGTGCAGTTGTGGTGGCTGGTGGTGCAGTTGTGGTGGCTGGTGGTGCAGTTGTGGTGGCTGGTGGTGCCGTAGTTGTGGTGGCTGGTTGTGCAGTAGTTGTGATGGCTGGTGGTGCAGTAGTTGCAGTGGCTGGTGGTGCAGTTGTGGTGGCTGGTAGTGCAGTAGTTGTGGTGGCTGATGGTGCGGTGGCTGGTGGTGCAGTTGTGGTGGCTGGTGGTGTGGTAGTTGTGGTGGCTGGTGGTGCGGTAGTTGTGATGGCTGGTGGTGCAGTAGTTGTGGTGGCTGGTGGTGCAGTGGTTGTGGTGGCTGGTGGTCCAGTAGTTGTGGTGGCTGGTGGTACAGTTGTGGTGGCTGTTGGTGTAGCAGTTGTGGTGGCTGGTGGTGTAGTAGATGTGGCTGGTGGTCCGGTGGCTGGTGGTGTGGTAGTTGTGGTGGCTGGTGGTGCGGTAGTTGTGGTGGCTGGTGATACAGTTGTAGTGACTGGTGGTGCAGTAGTTTGTGGTGCGGTAGTTGTGGTGGCTGGTGGTGCAGTAGTTGTGGTGGCTGGTGGTGCAGTGGCTGTGGTGGCTGGTGGTGCAGTTGTGGTAGCTGCTGGTGCCATAGTTGTGGTGGCTGGTGGTACAGTAGCTGTGGTGGCTGGTGGTACAGTAGTTGTGGTGGCTGGTGGTGTAGTTGTGGTGGCTGGTGGTGCCGTAGTTGTGGTGGCTGGTGGTGCAGTTGTGGTGGCTGGTGGTGCCGTAATTGTGGTGGCTGGTGGTGCAGTAGTTGTGGTGGCTGGTGGTGCAGTTGTGGTGGCTAGTGGTGTAGTTGTGGTGGCTGGTGGTGCCGTAGTTGTGGTGGCTGGTGGTGCAGTAGTTGTGGTGGCTGGGGGTGCAGTTGTGGTGGCTGGTGGTGCCGTAGTTGTGGTGGTTCGTGGTGCAGTTGTGGTGGCTGGTGGTGCCGTAGTTGTGGTGGCTGGTGGTGCAGTAGTTGTGGTGGCTGGTGGTGCAGTTGTGGTGACTGGTGGTGCAGTTGTGGTGGCTGGTGGTGCTGTAGTTGTGGTGGCTGGTGGTGCAGTAGTTGTGGTGGCTGATGGTGCAGTAGGTGTGGTGACTGATGGTGCAGTTGTGGTGGCTGGTGGTGCCGTAATTGTGGTGGCTGGTGGTGCAGTAGTTGTGGTGGCTAGTGGTGCAGTAGTTGTGGTGGCTGGTGGTGCAGTAGTTGTGGTGGCTGGTGGTGCAGTAGTTGAGGGTGGTGGTGCAATAGGTGTAGTGGCTAGTGGTGCAGTAGTTGTAGTGGCTGGTGGTGCGGTTGTTGTGGTGTCTGGTGGTGCGGTAGTTATGGCTGGTGGTGCAGTTGTGGTGGCTGGTGGTGCAGTAGTTGTGGTGGCTGGTGGTGCAGTAGTTGTAGTGGCTGGTGGTGCAGTAGTTGTAGTGGCTGGTGGTGCGGTAGTTGTGGTGGCTTGTGGTGCAGTAGTTGTGGTGGCTGGTGGTGCAGTAGATGTGGCTGGTGGTCCGGTGACTTGTGGTGTGGTAGTTGTGGTTGCTGGTGGTGCAGTAGTTGTGGCTGGTGGTGCAGTAGTTGTGGTAGCTAGTGGTGAAGTTGTGGTGGCTGGTGGTGCCGTAGTTGTGGTGGCTGGTGGTGCAGTTGCGGTGGCTGGTGGTGCCATAGTTGTGGTGGCTGGTGGTGCAGTAGTTGTGGTGGCTGGTGGTGCAGTAGTTGTGGTGGCTGGTGGTGCAGTTGTGGCTGGTGGTGCCGTAGTTGTGGTGGCTGGTGGTGCCGTAGTTGTGGTGGCTGATGGTGCAGTAGTTGTGGCTAGTGGAGCAGTTGTGGTGGCTGGTGGTGCCGTAGTTGTGGTGGTTTGTGGTGCAGTTGTGGTGGCTGCTGGTGCCGTAGTTGTGGTGGCTGGTGGTGCAGTAGTTGTGGTGGCTGGTGGTGCAGTTGTGGTGACTGGTGGTGCAGTTGTGGTGGCTGGTGGTGCTGTAGTTGTGGTGGCTGATGGTGCAGTTGTGGTGGCTGGTGGTGCCGTAGTTGTGGTGGCTGGTGGTGCAGTAGTTGTGGTGGCTAGTGGTACAGTAGTTGTGGTGGCTAATGGTGCAATAGGTATGGTGACTGATGGTGCAGTTGTGGTGGCTGGTGGTGCCGTAGTTGTGGTGGCTGGTGGTGCAGTAGTTGTGGTGGCTAGTGGTACAGTAGTTGTGGTGGCTGGTGGTGCAGTTGTGGTGGCTGGTGGTGCATTTGTGGTGGCTGGTGGTGCCGTAGTTCTGGTGGCTGGTGGTGCCGTAGTTGTGGTGGCTGATGGTGCAGTAGTTGTGGTGGCTGGTGGTGCCGTAGTTGTGGTGGTTTGTGGTGCAGTTGTGGTGGCTCGTGGTGCCGTAGTTGTGGTGGCTGGTGGTGCAGTAGTTGTGGTGGCTGGTGGTGCAGTTGTGGTGACTGGTGGTGCAGTTGTGGTGGCTGGTGGTGCTGTAGTTGTGGTGGCTGGTGGTGCAGTTGTGGTGGCTGGTGGTGCAGTTGTGGTGGCTGGTGGTGCCGTAGTTGTGGTGGCTGGTGGTGCAGTTGTTGTAGTGGCTGGTGGTGCGGTAGTTGTAGTGATTGGTGGTGCGGTTGTTGTAGTTGCTGGTGGTGCGGTAGTTGTGGTGGCTTGTGGTGCGGTAGTTGTGGTGGCTGGTGGCGCAGTTGTGGTGGTGGCTGGTGGTGCGGTAGTTGTGGCTGGTGGTGCGGTTGTTGTGGTGGCTGGTGGTGCAGTAGTTGTGGCTGGTGGTGCAGTTGTGGTGGCTGGGGGTGCAGTAGTTGTGGTTGGTGGTGCAGTAGTTGTGGCTGGTGGTGCAGTAGGTGTAGTGGCTAGTGGTGCAGTAGTTGTAGTGGCTGGTGGTGCGGTTGTTGTAGTGGCTGGTGGTGCGGTAGTTGTGGTGGCTTGTGGTGCAGTAGTTGTAGTGGCTGGTGGTGCGGTAGTTGTGGTGGCTGGTGGTGCAGTTATGGTGGTGGCTGGTGGTGCGGTAGTTGTGGCTGGTGGTACAGTAGTTGTAGTGGCTGGTGGTGCGGTTGTTGTGGTGGCTGGTGGTGCGGTAGTTGTGGCTGGTGGTGCAGTTGTGGTGGCTGATGGTGCAGTAGTTGTGGTGGCTGGGGGTGCAGTTGTGGTGGCTGGTGGTTCCGTAGTTGTGGTGGTTTGTGGTGCAGTTGTGGTGGCTGGTGGTGCCGTAGTTGTGGTGGCTGGTGGTGCAGTAGTTGTGGTGGCTGGTGGTGCAGTTGTGGTGACTGGTGGTGCAGTAGTTGTGGTGGCTGGTGGTGCTGTAGTTGTGGTGGCTGGTGGTGCAGTTGTGGTGGCTGGTGGTGCAGTTGTGGTGGCTGGTGGTGCCGTAGTTGTGGTGGCTGGTGGTGCAGTTGTTGTAGTGGCTGGTGGTGCGGTAGTTGTAGTGGTTGGTGGTGCGGTTGTTGTAGCTGCTGGTGGTGCGGTAGTTGTAGTGGCTTGTGGTGCGGTAGTTGTGGTGGCTGGTGGCGCAGTTGTGGTGGTGGCTGGTGGTGCGGTAGTTGTGGCTGGTGGTGCGGTTGTTGTGGTGGCTGGTGGTGCAGTAGTTGTGGCTGGTGGTGCAGTTGTGGTGGCTGGGGGTGCAGTAGTTGTGGTTGGTGGTGCAGTAGTTGTGGCTGGTGGTGCAGTAGGTGTAGTGGCTAGTGGTGCAGTAGTTGTAGTGGCTGGTGGTGCGGTTGTTGTAGTGGCTGGTGGTGCGGTAGTTGTGGTGGCTGGTGGTGCAGTAGTTGTAGTGGCTGGTGGTGCGGTAGTTGTGGTGGCTGGTGGTGCAGTTATGGTGGTGGCTGGTGGTGCGGTAGTTGTGGCTGGTGGTACAGTAGTTGTAGTGGCTGGTGGTGCGGTTGTTGTGGCTGGTGGTGCGGTAGTTGTGGCTGGTGGTGCAGCTGTGGTGGCTGATGGTGCCGTAGTTGTGGTGGCTTGTGGTGCAGTTGTGGTGGCTGGTGGTGCCGTAGTTGTGGTGGCTGGTGGTGCCGTAGTTGTGGTGGCTGGTGGTGCAGTTGTGGTGACTGGTGGTGCAGTTGTGGTGGCTGGTGGTGCGGTAGTTGTGGTGGCTGGTGGTGCAGTAGTTGTGGTGGCTGGTGGTGTGGTTGTTGTAGTGGCTGATGGTGCAGTAGTTGTGGTGACTGGTGGTGCAGTTGTGGTGGCTGGTGGTTCCGTAGTTGTGGTGGCTGGTGGTGCAGTAGTTGTGGTGGCTAGTGGTGCGGTAGTTGTGGTGGCTGGTGGTGCGGTTGTTGTAGTGGCTGGTGGTGCCGTAGTTGTGGTGGCTGGTGGTGCAGTTGTGGTGGCTGGTGGTGCAGTTGTGGTGGCTGGTGGTGCAGTTGTGGTGGCTGGTGGTGCCGTAGTTGTGGTGGCTTGTGGTGCAGTTGTGGTGGCTGGTGGGGCCGTAGTTGTTGTGGCTGGTGATGCCGTAGTTGTGGTGGCTGGTGGTGCAGTTGTGGTGACTGGTGGTGCAGTTGTGGTGGCTGGTGGTGCGGTAGTTGTGGTGGCTGGTGGTGCAGTAGTTGTGGTGGCTGGTGGTGCGGTTGTTGTAGTGGCTGATGGTGCAGTAGTTGTGGTGACTGGTGGTGCAGTTGTGGTGGCTGGTGGTGCCGTAGTTGTGGTGGCTGGTGGTGCAGTAGTTGTGGTGGCTGGTGGTGCAGTAGTTGTGGTGGCTGGTGGTGCAGTTGTGGTGGCTGGTGGTGCAGTTGTGGTGGCTGGTGGTGCCGTAGTTGTGGTGGCTGGTGGTGCAGTTGTTGTAGTGGCTGGTGGTGCGGTAGTTGTAGTGGTTGGTAGTGCGGTTGTTGTAGTTGCTGGTGGTGCGGTAGTTGTGGTGACTTGTGGTGCTGTAGTTGTAGTGGCTGGTGGTGCGGTAGTTGTAGTGGCTGGTGGTGCGGTAGTTGTGGTGGCTGGTGGCGCAGTTGTGGTGGTGGCTGGTGGTGCGGTAGTTGTGGCTAGTGGTGCGGTTGTTGTGGTGGCTGGTAGTGCGGTAGTTGTGGCTGGTGGTGCAGTTGTGGTGGCTGGGGGTGCAGTAGTTGTGGTTGGTGGTGCAGTAGTTGTGGCTGGTGGTGCAGTATGTGTAGTGGCTAGTGGTGCAGTAGTTGTAGTGGCTGGTGGTGCGGTTGTTGTAGTGGCTGGTGGTGCGGTAGTTGTGGTGGCTGGTGGTGCAGTAGTTGTAGTGGCTGGTGGTGCGGTAGTTGTGGCTGGTGGTACAGTAGTTGTAGTGGCTGATGGTGCGGTGGCTGGTGGTGCAGTTGTGGTGGCTGGTGGTGCGGTTGTTGTAGTTGTGGTGGCTGGTGGTGCGGTAGTTGTGGTGGCTGATGGTGCCGTAGTTGTGGTGGCAGGTTGGTGGTGGCTGGTGGCGCAGTTGTGGTGGTGGCTGGTGGCTGCAGTAGTTGTGGTGGCTGGTGAGTGCAGTAGTTGTGGTGGCCTGGTGGTGCGGTAGGTTGTGGTGGCTGGGGTTGCAGTAGTTGTAGTGGATGGTGGTGCAGTTGGTGGTGGCTGGTGTGGTGCAGTAGTTGTGGTGGCTGGTGGTTGCGGTAGTTGTGGTGGCTGGTGATACAGTTGTAGTGACTGGTGGTGCCAGTAGTTGTGGTGGCTGTGGTACAGTTGTGGTGGCTGTGGTGCAGTAGTTGTTGGTGGCTGGTGGTGCAGTGTGGTGACTGGTGGTGCAGTTGTGGTTGGTGGTGCAGTTGTTGTGGTGGTGGTGGTGCCATAGTTTGGTGGCTGGTGGGGCAGTTGTGGTGGTTGGTGGTGCAGTTGTGGTGGATGGTGATACAGTTGTAGTGACTGGTGGTGCAGTAGTTGTAGTGGCTGGTGGTGCAGTAGTTGTAGTGGCTGGTGGTGCGGTTGTTGTGGTGGCTGGTGGTGCGGTAGTTGTGGCTGGTGGTGCAGTAGTTGTGGCTGGTGGTGCCGTAGTCGTGGTGGCTGGTGGTACAGTTGTAGTGACTGGTGCTGCAGTAGTTGTAGTGGCTGGTGGTGCAGTAGTTGTGGTGGCTGGTGGTGCAGTAGTTGTAGTGACTGGTGCTGCAGTAGTTGTAGTGGCTGGTGGTGCGGTAGTTGTGGTGGCTGGTGGTGCCATAGTTGTGGTGGCTAGTGGTGCCGTAGTTGTAGTGGCTGGTGGTGCCGTAGTTGTGGTGGCTGGTGGTACGGTAGTTGTGGTGGCTGGTGGTACGGTAGTTGTGGTGGCTGGTGGTGCAGTAGTTGTAGTGGCTGGTGGTACAGTAGTTGTAGTGGCTGGTGGTGCCGTAGTTGTAGTGGTTGGTGGTGCAGTAGTTGTAGTGGCTGGTGGTGCAGTAGTTGTGGCTGGTGGTGCCGTAGTCGTGGTGGCTGGTGGTGCAGTAGTTGTGGTGGCTGGTGGTGCAGTAGTTGTGGTGGCTGGTAGTGCAGTTGTGGTGACTGGTGGTGCCGTAGTTGTGGTGGCTGGTGGTGCAGTAGTTGTAGTGGCTGGTGGTGCAGTAGTTGTGGTGGCTGGTGGTGCAGTAGTTGTAGTGGCTGGTGGTGCAGTAGTTGTAGTGGCTGGTGGTGCGGTAGTTGTGGTGGCTGGTGGTGCCATAGTTGTGGTGGCTAGTGGTGCCGTAGTTGTAGTGGCTGGTGGTGCCGTAGTTGTGGTGGCTGGTGGTACGGTAGTTGTGGTGGCTGGTGGTACGGTAGTTGTGGTGGCTGGTGGTGCAGTAGTTGTAGTGGCTGGTGGTACAGTAGTTGTAGTGGCTGGTGGTGCCGTAGTTGTAGTGGCTGATGGTGCAGTAGTTGTAGTGGCTGGTGGTGCAGTAGTTGTGGCTGGTGGTGCCGTAGTCGTGGTGGCTGGTGGTGCAGTAGTTGTGGTGGCTGGTGGTGCAGTAGTTGTGGTGGCTGGTAGTGCAGTTGTGGTGACTGGTGGTGCCGTAGTTGTGGTGGCTGGTGGTGCAGTAGTTGTAGTGGCTGGTGGTGCAGTAGTTGTAGTGGCTGGTGGTGCAGTAGTTGTAGTGGCTGGTGGTGCAGTAGTTGTAGCTGGTGGTGCAGTAGTTGTAGTGGCTGGTGGTGCAGTAGTTGTAGTGGCTGGTGATGCCGTAGTCGTGGTGGCTGGTGGTGCAGTAGTTGTGGTGGCTGGTAGTGCAGTTGCGGTGACTGATGGTGCCGTAGTTGTGGTGGCTGGTGGTGCAGTAGTTGTGGTGGCTAGTGGTACCGTAGTTGTGGTGGCTGGTGGTGCCATAGTTGTAGTAGCTAGTGGTGCAGTAGTTGTAGTGGCTGGGGGTGCGGTAGTTGTGGTGGCTGGTGGTGCCGTAGTTGTGGTGGCTGGTGGTGCAGTAGTTGTAGTGGCTGGTGGTGCCGTAGTCGTGGTGGCTGGTGGTGCAGTAGTTGTGGTGGCTGGTGGTGCAGTAGTTGTGGTGGCTGGTAGTGCAGTTGTGGTGACTGGTGGTGCCGTAGTTGTAGTGGCTGGTGGTGTAGTAGTTGTGGTTGCTAGTGGTGCCGTAGTTGTGGTGGCTGGTGGTGCCATAGTTGTGGTGGCTGGTGGTGCCATAGTTGTGGTGGCTAGTGCTGCAGTAGTTGTGGTGGCTGGTGGTTCCGTAGTTGTGGTGGCTGGTGGTGCCGTAGTTGTGGTGGCTGGTGGTGCAGTAGTTGTAGTGGCTGGTGGTGCCGTAGTTGTGGTGGCTGTATTTACCGCCGACTGCAGAAGTATACATACGATGCAAATGACGTATTTAGACGCCATGTTGATGCTGAAACGAAAAGTATTCATTTGTTCTTATTATATAAACCAAGAAAACAAAAGTTGTTTGTCATTCATAAAATATTTGCTAAAAGAATGTAAATTTCTTTCATACTTGCGTGATGTAATTGGTGTGAATATGTAATCATCTTGTAGACCGTTAATTAATTGTCATTTCATGATAGTAAATCAATAATACCATGATATTTTGGATGACTGACATCTCTGAGGAAGATAGCATGTAAATATTAATCTTATATACCTATATACATAAAGACACACAAACACACCCACACACACACATATATATGTATATATATGCACATGTATGTATATGTGTGTGTGAGTGTGTGTGTAAGTATATTTAGGTATATATGTATATACATATATGTATATGTATATTCATGCATTTGTTTATATATGTATATATATCATATATATATATATATATATATATATATATATATATATGTATATATATGCATACATATATATGTTTATATATATATATATATATATATATATGTATATGCATAAATATACACATATATATGTATGTATATATATACATATATAT